CTAGGATTGCAACCCCTGCCTTTTTTTTGTTTTCCATTTGCTTGGTAGATATTCCTTCATCCCTTTATTTTGAGCCTATATGTGTCTCTGCATGTGAGATTAGATGAATGGCTAACTAGAATAACCAGTGTAGAGAAGTCCTTGAATGACCTGATGGAGCTGAAAGCCATGGCACTCAAACTACATGATGAATGCACAAGCTTCAGTAGCCGATTCGATCAACTGGAAGAAAGGGTATCAGTGATTGAAGATCAAATGAATGAAATGAAGTGAGAAGAGAAGTTTAGAGAAAAAAGACTAAAAAGAAACAAACAAAGCCTCCAAGAAATATGGGACTATGTGAAAAGACCAAATCTACGTCTGATTGATGTGCCTGAAAGTGACGGGGAGAATGGAACCAAGTTGGAAAACACTCTGCAGGATATTATCCAGGAGAACTTCCCCAACCTAGCAAGGCAGGCCAACATTCAACTTCAGGAAATACAGAGAACGGCACAAAGATAACTCCTCGAGAAGAGCAACTCCAAGACACATAATTGTCAGATTCACCAAAGTTGAAATGAAGGAAAAAATGTAAAGGGCAGCCAGAGAGAAAGGTCGGGTTACCCATAAAGGGAAGCCCATCAGACTAACAGCAGATCTCTCAGCAGAAACTCTCCAAGCCAGAAGACAGTGGGGGCCAGTATTCAACATTCTTAAAGAAATGAATTTTTAACCCAGAATTTCATATCCAGCCAAACTAAGTTTCATAAGTGAAAGGGAAATAAAATCCTTTACAGACAAGCAAACGCGGAGAGATTTTGTCACCATCAGGCCTGCCCTACAAGAGCTCCTGAAGGAAGCAGTGAACATGGAAAGGAATAACCAGTACCAGCCACTGCAAAAACATGCCAAAATGTAAAGACCATCGATGCTAGGAAGAAACTGCATCAACTAATGAGCAAAATAACCAGCTAACATCATAATGACAGGATCAAATTCACACATAACAATATTAACCTTAAATGTAAATGGGCTAAATGCTCCAATTAAAAGACACAGACTGGCAAATTGGATGGAGTCAAGACCCATCAGTGTGCTATATTCAAGAATTATTTTTTTAAAAAACGATGAGAACACATGGGCACATGGGGGCAACAACACATACTGGGGCCTGTCAGGAGGGTGTTGGGGGAGGGAGAGCATCAGGAAGAATAGGTAGTGGTTGCTGGGCTTAATACCCAGGTGATGAGATGATCTGTGCAGCAAACCACCATGGCACACGTTCACCTGTGTAACAAACCTGCACATATACCCCTGAACTTAAAAGTTGAAGAAAAATAAATAAATCAATAAATAAAAAGCATTCTATGGCCAGGTTGCAGTGGCTCATGCCTGTAATCCCAGCACTTTGGGAAGGAAGCTGAGGTGGGTAGATTGCTTGAGCCAAGGAGTTCAAGATCAGCCTGGGCAACGTGGCGAAACCCCATCTCTACAAAATATACAAAAAAATTAGCTGGGTGTAGTGGCGTACACCTGTAGTCCCAATAGGAGGATGACTTGAGCCCAGGAGGTGGAGGTTGCAGTGAGCCAAGATTGTGCCATTGCACTCCAGCTTGGGGAACATAGTGAGTCTCTGTCTCTTATAAATAAATAAATAAATAAAAAAAAAGGGATTGTAACCACATTTGCCAAAAACAAAACAAAACAAAACAAAAACCTGGAAAATAGCCAATCTAAAACAATCAACCACAGTTCAAATAACTTAACTGTATTTTGATTTGTTCTTTCCCCAGGTTTGAAGCATTTTAAAATATGTGATAATTAGAGTACAAACAAGTGAAGTCTCAGTTTTTCATTGATTTTTTTCATAAGATAAACATTTTTCTGTGACATTGCATAACTGTCAGTTTCAATAAGCTAAGCAGCCAGCTCTCTAAGGAGTAAAAGAAGTCTCTAAAAGCAGTGGCTTTGCTCCCTTACCAGAGGCCTACAGCTGACCAGAAAGGAAAGTGAGGACATGCGTGTTCAGGGCACTGCGTGGTACGTCACTGGAAACCAACTCCAACCAGCTCTTTCCTTGTTCCTTGTTTTGTTCCAATCACTATTGACAAGGGAAGTGTAGCTAAAAGCTACATTCATCTCTGTCTCCTCCCTTCTGTCTTTAGACTTTGTTGCTTAAAATAACAGCAAGCCTCAGGGTAGGTTTGCTCCAGAGTGTCCCAGTTTTAGCACTGAATGTCTTGCTGGGCAACTCCTGTCCAGGGCAAACTGGGACAGTTGGTCACCCTACCAGGGGAGAAGTGAGATGAGTGTGCAGACATATTTGGCCAACCTGTCCCTGTCAGAGCTAAGGTCCTGCCTGGAACTTTTCTATCAGGATGTGGGTAGCCAGCGTGTGCCCTTGGGCTTCAGGACCACCTCTGTGCCATGCCCACCTGCTTCTCGTGCTCAGTCACTGGGTCCTGGGCTATCTCATCCACTCATCCAGCCTAGAGGCACCTAACTGGGATATTCCTGTAGGGGCTCATGAGAATAAATGTGACATTTAGGTGAAAATAAGAGCTCTGGAATTCTTATGTTTAATGCTGGCCTGCCTTAAGCGTCAGCTTTGAAATCACTTCTCATGATCATTATTCTGGTTTATTTTTTGTTGTATTTGACTTATGCGCCCTTCAGAAATACCAAATGGTTTCCTTGCTTTGCAAAGGAAGGGTTTCCATTTGTACCCAAAAGTACACATCGTCTGTGTGAGATTGTGCAGTTCAGCTCTTCACTGTTTTTTGGTCCAGAGAGTTGGTGCTCTTGTTATGATAAGTCTTGACTAACAAGAGAAGCAACTCAGGGATGGTCCTCATTCCACGTCAGTTCAACATGTAATATAGTGCTGTACATATAAATTTGTTTTTGCTGTAACATGGGGACTTTGCTGTTGCCCCTTAAGGATGAAAAAACATCACATTGATTTCAAAATATAGTAATGATTGTCAGTAAAGAAAGCTGTGGGAGACACATGAGAGATGCAAGCTGCCTATAGTGGCCATGAAGAGTAAAACTAAATGGATGTGCTATGAATTTGCTGATTGATCAGCATCTTTTACACCGAATTCTAGAAGAAGAATCACTTTATGCATGATGATCTTTGCTAATCAGCTATAATCAGGTCTTCCTAGAATGGCGAAGTAATTAAACCTTGTTCACTGGTACTGATCATATGTAATTGTTTCCATACTGTTGGCCAAAACAACTATAGGAGGTTTTGCAGAGGCCATAAGTACTCAAGGTCTTTGAGGTAATTTCTCTGTATAAACAATGCAAATATTTTATGACTGGAGTTGAGTTGAATTTTTTTCACAGGCTTTAAATCTATCAGGATTTTCCTGTGGGTTTCTTCTTAGGGGAGTGGGGGTGGTGATGGTGACTGACTAACTTGAAAGGCCTCATGTTCCTGCAGTGGGGGCCCGGGGCTCTTTCATCTTAGTCTGACTGCTGTCCCACTGCTGCTTGAGGATTTGGAGTGTGTAAAAGTCCTGGACTTTTTAATTATGTTTGAGCCTTTTAAGAAGCCCGCACCATAAAGGGAAAGACGGAAACATATGCAGTGAAATATTTTATATCCAATTTGAGGATTCAACCAAAGGTCTCCACCTGGGCCAAATAGATCAGAGCCTTCAAATAGATCAAAGGTAGCATGGAGTTGAGGCTGACCTCTTTGTTGGAGGTGGAGTGGCAATACTTTATGATAATATGTTAGTTGCATAGAAGTAGCATTAAAGTAGAAAAAAGGAGGGTATATTACTCAGATTTCCACCATCTAAATTAATTATTAACATTTTTCAAACTTTGTATTCCATATATGTGAATATGTACACTGATTTTTATAGTTATAATTGTGATATACATTATATTTGACTTTCTGCTTTCATACGTAACATTATGTGATAAGCGTTTTCCACATTGCATCATGGTTCAATGAAACATTTTTAAATGGTGTTACAATTTCCTACAGAATTCCTGTACTGCTGTGCATTTACCTACTCAATTATAGGACTTCTGGATTGTGTTTGAGTTTTTTATTATAAGACTCAATGAATATATATAATTTTTAAAAAATTCTTTGGACCTGTTTTCCTAGAATATATTCTACAAGTTGAAATTACTGGGACAAGGAATTTCAACATTTTTAAGTTTGGGGGCAGAAAATTGGCTACTGCTTTTCTGAAAAGTAGAGCCATTTTATACTGTCCCCATTAGTTCTTCAACTTTATCAGAATTGGGAGTTGTCTGAATTCTTTTTACAAGCAAATTGAAAATTGTTTTAGGATTAAAGAAAAGAATTACCTCAGTGTTGTTTTTCCTATGATAACCATCAGTATGACACACACACAAAATTGTATTCTAGGAAGAAAGAACATTCCTCACTGTTGACAAGCAGCTGTCATATTTTTAAAAAGGAAGTTTTACAAGTGGCATGGCAGGCATAGTTGCTTCCAATAAGAAACAAATTTGAGGCACCTGAATCTCTGTCTGCTGCTGCAAAAAAATTATACTTGCCACTGAAATCAGTGTAGGAGAGGAGGACAATATGGATTAGCAATACCCAAGAGAATGCTCAGCTTGCCAGTGACTGCAGTGCCTGAAGTTGAAGTTAATGAAATGCAGGCTTCATGAAAATCCTAGGGGGTAGTATTCCTTAGTTCCACTAAGATGTAACCACAGTCCTCTGTCTTAACATAGCCATAAATCCAAGTAAAACCTGTATATATGTATCACTGGGTAATACAACGCAAATGTTTTTGCAACCAAGAGAGGCCTTTATGCAGATTACTATGAAGAATGCAGTGGTAGAGACAAGGCTTGAGTTTATTTCAGATTGTTGTTGTTTATGGCTAACTAGAAGAAAATCTCAGAGAGATTCTTGTCTCTTTTTCTCTCTCGCTGGCTCACTGTTTATACCTGGCTTGATTCATGAGCTTCACCTCCTGAATCTTGGATTTGCTGATGGCTTGATTTCATTTCAGGTTCTGATGTACAATGGCCAACTGGACATCATCGTGGCAGCTGCCCTGACAGAGCGCTCCTTGATGGGCATGGACTGGAAAGGATCCCAGGAATACAAGAAGGCAGAAAAAAAAGTTTGGAAGATCTTTAAATCTGACAATGAAGTGGCTGGTTACGTCCGGCAAGTGGGTGACTTCCATCAGGTAGGACGATGCTTGGGAGCAGGCAGGTTGTGGGAATGGGAGAATGGGATTGAAAAGAAAGCCTGAATACCAATGAGACATGGCCGACCTTAAGCAAAGCCATACAACAGCCAGTGTGTGTCTTCTGTGGCCCTGCTTTCCACAGAGAAGAGTGGTCTGAGTTCATACATACATAGGACTAAATATAAAACCAGACAAAAGTTTAGGCATTGTTCAAGAGGTAAGGAGACAATTCATTAAAAAGACAGTGCTCAGTCCAAAGAGGCAGATCATTAATGAGAGAATTGCATTGTATTTGGGGAGAGAACTTGACAAATTGTAAGAGGAACTTTCAACACAATCTGTTCTGGCAAACGTGTGATCACATTTTTGTATTACATATGGAGCCTCAGGACAAAAATCTCTCTAGCTAATATCCTAGTGCAACCTCCACTTTGGGGTCAGATGTTACTCTCATCATCTTCCTTTCTTGTAATGTCCTCTTCAAGTTTTGGAATCATAGTTATATTGGCCTCATAAGTTGGGAAGTGTTTCCTCTTTCTGTTGTTGGAAACAGCATCTTTAAGTGTTAGGAGAATTCACTGGTGAAGCCATCTGGGCCTGGAGATTTTTTTGAAGGAAGGGTTTTGTTGTTGGTATATAATAAGTGTACATCTTTATAGAATACATGTAATATTTTGATACATGCATTTAATGTTAATGACCAAATCAGTGTATTTAGGCTATCCATCACTTCAAACATGTATCATTTCGTTATATTGGGAACATTTCAAATCTCTTCTAGCTATTTTGAAATATACAATATATCGTTCTTAACTATAGTCACCCTACTGTGCTATTGAACACTAGAATTTATTCCTTCTATCTAACTGTCTGCACCCATTAACCAATCTCTCTTCATCTTTCCACCCATCCCCACTTCCCAGCCTCTGGTAACTATCATTCTATTCTTTACCTCCGTGAAATTAACTTTTTGCGCTCCCACATATGAGTGAGAACATATGATATTTGTCTTTCTGTGCCTGTCTTATTTCATTTAACATAATGACCTCCAGTTCCATCCATGTCACTGCAAGTGATAGGATTTCATTCTTTTTATGGCTTAGTAATATTCCATTGTGTAGATATGCCACATTTTTTAAATCCATTCATCTGTTTATGGACACTTAGGGTGATTCCATGTCATGGCTATTGTGAATAATAAACATGGAGTACAGATATTCCTTTGATATACTGGTTTCTTTTCCTTTAGAAAAATACTGAGTAGTGGAATTACTGCAGCATATGGTAATTCTATTTGTAGTTTTTTTAGAAACCTCCATATTATGGTTTTCCATAATGGTTGTACTAATTTACATTCCTGCTAATAGTGTATGAGTTCATTTTCTCTGCATCCTCATCAGCATCTGTTATTTTTTGTCTTTTTGGTAATAACCATTCTAACTCCAATGAGATGACACCTCATTGTGGTTTTAATTTGCATTTCCCTGATGATTAGTGATGTTGAGCATTTTTCCATATACCTGTCGGGCACCTGTATGTCTTCTTTTGAGAAATATCTATTAAAATCCTTTCCTCACTTTTTAATGGTATTATTTGTGTTTTGTGCTCCTCAGTTGCTTGAGTTCCTTGTATATTCTGGATATTAGTCTTTGGTCAGATGGATAGTTGGCAGATATTTTCTCCCATTCTACAGGTTGTCTCTTCACTGTATTGATTGTTCCCTTTGCTGTGAAGAAACTTTTTAGTTTTTGTCTATTTGTCCATTTGTGGTTTTGTTGCCTATGCTTTTTGGGTCTTAGCCATAAAAGCTTTACATACATGAGTGTCCTGAAGTGTTTCCCCTGTTTTCTTTTAGTGGTTTTACCATTTTGAGTCTTATGTTTAAATCTTTAATCCATTTGAGCTTATTTTACATGTATATGGTGAGAGATAGGGGTTTAGTTTTTGAGCTTATTCTACGTGTATATGGTGAGAGACGGGGGTTTAGTTTCATTCTTCTGCATATGGATCCCAGTTTACCCAGCACCATTCATTGAAGAGGGTGTCCTTTCCCCAGTGTATAAGGTTCTTGTCAGCTTTGTCAAAGATTATTTGGCTATAAATACATGGATTTATTTCTGGGTTTCCTATTCTGTGCCATTAGTCTATGTGCCTGTTTTTATACTAATACCTTGCCATTTTGGTTATTACTGCTTTATAGTATATTTTGAAATCAGGTAGTGTGATGCCTCCAACTTTGTTCTTTTTGCTCAGTATTGCTTTGACTATTTGGGGTCTTTTGTGGTCCATGTGAACTTTAGAACTTTTTTTTTCTATTTCTGTGACAAATGCCATTGGTATTTTAATAATTATGCATTGAACCTGTAGATTGCTTTAGAGTCAGTATGATCATTTTAACAATGTTAATTTTTCCAACCATGAGCATGAAATGTCTTCCATTTGTTGTGTCCTCTTCAACTTCTTACATCAGCATTTTATAGTTTTCCTTATAGAGACCTTTCACCTCCTTGATTCAATCTATTTTAAGGTTATTTATTTATTTTGTAGCTACTGTAAATGGGATTGCTTTCTTGATTTCTTTTTAGCTAGTTCATTATTAGTGTATAGAAATGCTAGTGAGTTTTGTATGTTGATTTTGTATCCTGCAACTTTACTGAATTCATTTATCAGTTCTAAAAGTTTTTTGGTGGAGTATTTAGTTTTTTCTGTATAAAAGATTGTGTCATTTGCAAAGAAAAACAGTTTGACTTGCTCTCTTTCTGTATGAATGCCTTTTGTTTCTTTTTCTTACCCAATTGCTCTGGCTAGGACTTTTGGTACTATGTTGAATAGAAGTGGTGAAAGGGAACATTCTTGTCTTGTTCCAATTCTTAGAGGAAATGCTTTCAGCTTTTCCCTATTCAGTATGATGATGTTTGTTGTATATGGCCTGTATTATGTTGTGATGTGTTCCTTCTATGCCTGATTTGTTGACAGTTTTTATCATGAAGAAGGTATGTTGGATTTTATCAAATGTTTTTCTTAATCTATTGAGATGAACTTACGGTTTTTGTCTTTCATTCTGTTGACGTGATGTATCATGTTTATTGATTTGCATATGTTGAACCATTCTTGCATTTCTGGGATAAATTCCACTTGATTATGGTATATTATCTTTTTGATGTGTTGTTGGATTCTGTTTGCTAGTATTTTGTTGAGGATTTTTACATCTATATTCATTAGGGAGATTGTAGTTTTCTTTTTGTGTGTATCCTTGTCTGGTTTTGGTATCAGGATGATAGCCTTGTAGAATGAATTAGAAGGAATTCCCTCCTCTTTAATTTTAAAGATTAGTTTGAGAAGAATTTGCGTTAGCTCTTTCCTGAGCTTGGCAGAATTTGGCAGAAAAGCCATCCAGTCCTAGACTTTTCTTTGTTGGGATAATTTTTATTACTGATTCAATCTCATTATTCTTTATTGGTCTGTTCAAGTTTTCTGTATCTTCCTGGTTCAATCTTGTTAGGCGGTATATGTCCAGGAATTTATCCATTCCCCTAGGTTTTCCAGTTTGTTAGGCTAAAGTTGTCCATAATAGTCTCTGATGATGCTTTGTATTTCTGTGATATCGGTTGTAATGTCTCCTTTTTCATTTCCAATTTTATTTATTTGAGTTTTCTCTCTTTTTTTCTTGATCAGTATAGCCTAGTCTAGTTTATTGATTTTATTTATCTTTTTTAAAAACAGGCTTCTTTGTTTCATTGATCCTTTGTATTTCTTTTTAGTTTCTATTCCATTTAGTTCTGCTCTGATTTTTATTATTTCTTTTGTTCTAATTTTGGGTTTAGAACAAAAGATACTGGGTTTGGTTTGTTCTTGATTTTCCAGTTTTTTAAAGATGCATCTTTAGGTTGTATATTTAAACTCTCTACTTTTATTTATTTATTTATTTATCTATTACTATAAACTTCCATCTTAGCACTACTTTTGCTATATCTTATAGGTTTTGGTATTTTGTGTTTCCATTTTCATTTGTTTCAAGAAATTTTTAAATTTTCTTCTTGATTTCTTAATTGATTCAGTGGTCATTCAGGAGCATGTTTTAAATTTTCATGTATTTGTACAGTTTCCAAAGTTTTCCTTGGTACCTATTTCTAGTTTAATTCCATTGTAGTCTTAGAAGATACTTGATATGATTCTGATTATTTTACATTTGTTGAGGCTTGTTTAATGGCATAACAAATGATCTGTCCTGGAGAATGTTTCCTGTGCTGATGAGAAAAAAATGCATTATGTAGCAGCTGGATAACATGTTCTGTAAATATCTGTTAGTTCTATTTTGTCTAAAGTGCAGTTTAAATCTGATGTTTCTTTCTTATTTTTCTGTCTAAATGATGGCCAGTTCTGAGACTGTTTGTTGAAGTCCTCAACTATTATTGTATTGGAGCCTATCTCTCCCTTTAGATCTAATACTATTTGCTTTATATATTTGGGTGCTCCTTTTTTTTTTTTTTTTTTTTTTTTTTTTTTGAGACGGAGTCTTGCTCTGTCCCCCAGGCTGGAGTGCAGTGGCCGGATCTCAGCTCACTGCAAGCTCCGCCTCCTGGGTTTACGCCATTCTCCTGCCTCAGCCTCCCAAGTAGCTGGGACTACAGGCGCCCTCTCCTGTGTTGACTGTGTGTATTTAATATGATTGGGATGGTTATATCCTCTTGCTAAATTGAAAACTTTTTCTTTTCTTACAATTTTTATCTTGAAATCTATTTTATCTAATATAAGTACAGCTACTCCTTCTCACTTTTGGTTTCTGTTTACATGGAATATAATTTTTTATTCCTTTACTTTCAGTCTATGTCTTTGCAGCTGATGTGAGTTTCTTGTAGGTAGCTGATAGCTGATATGGATTGCATGTTTGTCTCCTCCAAGTCTCATGTTGAAGTGTGATTCCCAGTATTGGAAATGGGGCCTGATGGAAGGTGATTGGATGATGGGGAAGATTCCTCATGAATGCCTATGCACCA